CCATTAGTCGGTCTTCCGAGTGAAAGTGGAGAATTAGAATCGACTATTCAAAATAGCGATCACTACTCGTGCACAATGACGCGTGTGTCCGTATCTTCTGTTGACTTGGTATTTTTACCGTGCTTCTCTTGAAGAGAAAGCCAAATTAAAGACTGAATCTGGGATTGAAGCGTCCGAGGCATAGGAATCGCCGAAGACGCGCGAAATGAACAAATCCCCGACTTCTCAGAGTTTTGGAAGGGCACAGATACTACAAAAGTAATAAAGGAAGATCGCTCGCTCGATCTGGAAGATTTGCCTCGACATTATCTTGAAGTCTCTTTGATGAACAAAGAGGATCGTGCTGTAAAGCATTATTCGCAAGGTACAAAATTTTCTGTCAAAACCGATCAAAATCCATCGAAGACCACTCTTGTGATACCAAAGAAGAAAGAGGCCAAGATGGCAAGGACATTAAAAGCAGCGTAGGATCTTGACCAACGTGATCGCGCCAATGAAAGTCGATGATCGGTCGGCCAAAAAATGTGGAAGAAGAGGAGGCAATGGAAAGGTGGCAATTGGACCTTTTCGACAGAGGGGTAATATTGGAAGGTTCTCAAGACGTTGCTGACAAGCAACCCGGTGCTACACATATTTAAGCCCAGGATGATCGGAAAGATTTGAGGCCCGATCTCAGAACCAGCGACAGCATCATAGACGCTGTTACGGATTAACGGAATCACCCAACTGTGACGGGTGCAGGATTAAGTCATGGGGGGTTTTAACGCGAAGAAGTTACTGGCTTGTATACAAGATTAGGTGACTAAGGCGTATAGATTACGATATGAAGAGATGTTTTCGTCAAAGTATGAATATAAAAACGAAGATCAAGCGCTTTCGGCAAACGCAGATACCTCGGACATCTCGTTGAGAGCCGACTACGAGCGCGTATATCAATATTTTCTGGCGGTCGCAGATGCCCCAAGAGGCAACCATACTGAATCATCGCAGTATGCATACGCCAATTCAGAGATTAAATCAGATATATTGATCGGTATTCATCTGATGGCGTATGGCCCCAAATGGGGTAACTCGTCTGCGAAATCGCGTTGTGAGGGCCAAGGACGAGTCGAGCTCGGCAGCTGCATGGACCGAAGAAGATGTAAGCCCGAAGATACCAGGACCACTACAGATGTATGCCAAAGCTGCCATGAGACCTTATCATTAAGAGCAACGTTAACAAGCTCGCCAAGTAGTCTATTTAAGTCAGACTGTGAGACGTTTGAGGAAGCAGGAGATATGTATTACGGATGTCGAGATGGAATCGGTCGGATCGCGTAAATACAGATCGGACCCATATTACCCTAATGGAGGAGATCCAGAATACATCTAGCAAGACTATCTTAGACGGCCACGGGTATCATATACGGAAACAGCACCCGATGATGAACTTACCGCTCCAAGGATTTGGATGTCTGCGATTGCGCAGCTAAAGCAATTTAACAAAAAAACAGGTATAAAGTTTGGAACAGGAGCTGAATCAGCAAGGTCAAGCCCGCATGGCTAAGCCACCGAGACCCAGATGAAGAAAAGTGCCTAGTGGTCGATGTTTTTCTCACGGGCCCCGTACGAAACTGGTTTACCCAGCTGAGCCGACCTACTCTTCGCTCATGGAACGACCTTCTAGACATATTTTTCGTACCATATGGAGGCAATGGAATGTCGGTAGGAAGTCATTATTACTATGCAAAGAAGCGAATAAAGGAAAGCCATTGGGATGTCAGTATCGTATGAATGTCGCGGTGATAGGAGCAATTATACGAATTCTAGACGAATCGCGGGATGTACGTCGTAAACATGTGGAACACTTCATTTGGACACTTGATGATCGCGATCTGGATAAGCAATTCTCTTTGCAAGGATTAAATGACGCAAATGAGATTCCAAACTTCATATAGCCCACGAGGTACGTCGGACGTCGAAAGCTTCGACTCCCTTCTTCGATATCATAAGGTAAGCGCAATTTAGTTTGATTATGACGTGATTCAGACCTCCTCTTGCAAGCGCCACTCTACCCCCACCTCCGCCCGGCCGCCCGCTTTCTTGTAACGGTTCCAGCTAATTCGAAGCCGCATAGACGACAAAGTAGCAAGCTTGGAGCTCTATTCCTTTGACCCAATGATCCAGTATAGAAAATGGAATCGAGTGTTGAATGTTCACGTGCTCATTTCGGATGGTTTTTCAGCTAAGACGGCTGGAGGACGAGATGATACTTGTGACATGCTATAACCACAGTGATGACGTGATGGTTGTTGTGAGACAAAGCAACTCGTTGGTGTTTCTACTACGTCCTAGAAAAGAGTGATAGACAAGAGAGTCGACAGCTTGATTTTACCTGTGCGACAACACGTGCGGCTGACGATACGGTGCGATCGGAAGAGGAAGAGAGATGGGGAGCTTCCTCTACCGCCGAGCAAGGAGAGTGATCACGAACTCTTCCTTTTCGTGTTTCACGCCCTACGGATGCAAAACGCGTCACGCATGTCGTACAGACACGCGCCAACGTACAATCCTATGCGCGCAGAAGCTGAATGAATGAGAAGCTCGGCTTTCACCTCACACAGACTCAGTCCTAGCTCGCTCGTCGGTCGGGATAAGGCTTTTGCGATAAAGCCGAACCTCTTGCATGTGCAGGGCTTGTGTCGATTTGGCAAGCTGACACGCGTAGGCTATCAACGATACAGCTGCGTGGAAGGGTGATTGCTGGTGGAGCAGGTGCTTGCTCGGTCGCGCCTTTTTATCGAACTTTGTGATAATGACCGTGTGTTACACTGCTGTAGTCTTATGATCGCGTTGCTTCCATACATGTTTGTAGTGTCGCATATAGGAACGGCGTGAGTGTGGGTTGTGGTACGGAGTGCTTGATGGTCTTATCGGGTCATGCGTGGTCATGCGTGGTAATACCATCTAATATTAGCACCACGAAAAGGCGGCGATGTCGCTGGTTTGATAGATACAACAAGGAAAGTATAAGACTTGTAAGCAACAGGTGGCCCATAGGAGCTAAAGGAGCTTGACATGTGTAAACTGCGGTACTGACCCTTGTCAAAGATGTACGAATACGCTGGATTAAAAGTGTACTGTGCGGACAAGAATCCATACACACGTTTGCGTGGTAAAAAGTGCCATATGCGGACAAGAATCCATGCACACGTTTGCATGCTGTGGACGTTCGCTCGCGCGGTTTGCGCTGCTCCTTGATTTGCACGCTTGTAGTTTGGTATGGAGATACCTCGTCCTGTTGCTAGCTCTCGTCTTCGTGTATCATGGCGCGCTTGCTTCTTGTGAATTGCCACTGCAATGTCATTCCACATTTTGCCCAACGAAGCACAGCACAACAGTTCACAACCTCCGTGAAAAATGAACGTGAAGACCAGATTGGTCGTTGTCTTCATCGTTGTCGCCACCGCTGCCGCTGTCGTTGCCTCTTGGGATCGCAATTGGCGTACCGCTCGGTGCTCCTTCACAGGTCGGTGCCAATATCGCGTTGATGATGCCATCGAGGCACACGAGGACTGTGTCGAATATTTTTACGGACGAATGACGCAGGGCAAGTACGACATTTACCGTCAATGCTGCAAGTCCAGCTGCCTCGAGTATGACTAGTAGGACACTATCCCGGTTCCATTGTCGCCCTGGACGGCTCAACAAGTGACGCGGGGTAATGAGCGTCTCGACTTTCGTTGTATGCTGCGTGATCCTCCAGTCGGTTGATAACTGTGACAGTCGTTAAGGGTCAAATTTGAATGTAAACAAGGTGTCGTTTGTTGCTAACATCTTTTCGTGTTCCATTACAATTTTCGGTGTTGTTGGCGTCAATTAATCGCTCGCGGTGATCATAGTAGTGCCTAAACTTTGGTATCCTAGTGTGGCAACAGAACGCAGTGGACAAGAATGTGTCGAGACTGCAGCCACGGTTGCCATCGAATATCTTTGCGTGTATGTGCAGAAGAGTAGACCTCTGTCTCTTCTCAAATCTCGCTCAAAGCGCAAGGGCAAGACACGGATATCAATAGTTTTCGGTGCCGAGGAATCGTCCCAGTTATTCTGTGATTCTGTGATCGAAGGCCGACGGCCGCAAAGTTGTACGAAACACTAACGAGCTGACGTCGTACTCGTTCCTCTGAGTCAAAACGTAGACGGGATAACACTTTGGACACGATGATATCCGGGTTGCTAAGTTTCTCAAGCTGCAAGTTTGAATGCAGAATTTCGGTCGCGGTAGCCTTCCAGCGTTTCGTAATACAGTAGTTCACTCGTACTCGATGAGATCTTCGTGCTATACACATCGCGTGCAAATTTGAGTCGTTTCCTGGATCCTGAAATCACTTGTAATCAGATAAACGCAGCGATTCTATCATTTCAGCGTCTAGGTAGACGACCTATCCATTGGCTTTGACACGGATTCGGGAGAGGCGAGACGGCAGCAAGTGAAACCGACGATGGCAGCAAGTGAGTTAACTATATACTTTTGGCCCTTTTGTGCTCAATTCTAAGTTACTCAATAGCTACCAGCTACCACCGTGCCTCAATCGAATCGTCTTGTTTTGCAGCTATAAGTACTCGCAAATCAACATACACATGTAAGAGGTACATGCATACGTTGCAGGCGAGCCCAGACTCATAGCCGGATCTCTCGACAACATACCCGCCTTCTCGAGTAGTGGACTCGGCCTTTCCCCACGGAGTCGCTGTTCCATCGGCCTTGTGTACACGATGTAGGTATCTGCCGAACATACCTCGCGTGAGTACCACCTTGTTTGAGTGGAAGATAAGATCTGCACTGCAGGATGGTGTAGGCACGGCGCGACCAAAACCTGTTGTTTGACCCTTAACTCTGCCGTTGTTCCATGGTTGTTAGCTAGGTCCTGCAAGTGATCAGCAACCGATCGACGTGTAAGTAGCACCATTGTCGCATTTGCATTCTTTGGGCTGGTAGCTAGTTGTAGTGATCCAAAAGACTAGTACTCTTCACCGAATGCCTCATCGTCACCCTCGGCAGTCTCGGCCGATACCTCCTCGTAGTCCTTCTCGAGCGCCGCAAGGTCCTCACGAGCCTCGGAGAACTCGCCTTCTTCCATACCTTCGCCCACAAACCAGTGCACGAACGCACGCTTGGCATACATCAAGTCAAACTTGTGGTTGATACGGGAGAACACCTCAGCGATAGCGCTTGTGTTGGAGATCATGCACACTGCACGCTGCACGCGAGCAAGATCGCCACCTGGCACCACCGATGGCGGCTGGTAGTTGATGCCGCACTTGAAACCAGTCGGACACCAGTCGACAAACTGAATCGTGCGCTTCGTCTTGATCGTCGCCACTGCAGCATTTACGTCCTTGGGGACCACGTCGCCTCGGTACATGAGACACGTGGCCATGTACTTGCCGTGACGCGGGTCGCATTTCGCCATCATCGACGTGGGCTCAAACGCGCTGTTAGTGATCTCGGCCACGGACAGCTGTTCGTGGAACGCCTTCTCAGCTGAAATCACGGGTGCGTACGAGCTCAGCATAAAGTGGATGCGTGGGTACGGCACCAAGTTCGTCTGGAACTCATTAATGTCCACATTCAGTGATCCGTCAAAGCGCAGCGACGTCGTCAAGGACGAAATCACCTGAGCGATCAGGCGATTCAGGTTGGTATATGACGGCCGTTCAATATCAAGCGAGCGACGGCAGATGTCGTAGATGGCTTCATTGTCGAGCATCACAGCCACGTCCGTGTGCTCGAGCAGCGCGTGCGTGGACAGCACTGAGTTGTAAGGCTCCACGACCGCGGACGACACGAGCGGCGACGGGTAAATGGTAAACCCGAGTTTGCTCTTGCGGCCATAGTCGACCGAGAGCCGCTCGAGCAGTAGCGAGCCGAGCCCCGAGCCAGTACCGCCTCCTACGGCGTTAAATACCATAAAGCCCTGGAGACCGGTGCACGCATCAGCGAGTTTCCGCACGCGATCGAGCACTAGATCCACGTATTCCTTGCCGATTGTATAGTGTCCTCGCGCATAGTTGTTCGCTGCGTCTTCTTTGCCCGAAATGATCTGCTCGGGGTGGTACAACTGGCGGTACGTCCCCGTGCGTACCTCGTCACAGACCGTCGCTTCGAGGTCCACAAACACCGCGCGTGGCACGTGTTTGCCCGTACCTGTCTCGGCAAAAAACGTCGAAAACGAGTCGTCGCCACTGCCAATGGACGTGTCACTTGGCATCGTGCCATCGGGCTGGATCCCGTGCTCGAGACAGTAGAGCTCCCAGCAGGCGTTGCCGGTCTGGATCCCGCCCTGGCCCAGATGGAGCGACAGAATCTCGCGCATGAGTCGACGTGGCACCTGAGCGAGAGAGGGGGAGGACGAAGGGCGCTGCTGACGTGGACAAACACGATGGGCGAATAAGATGACGAATGGCAACAAAGGCAGCAATGGTGAGACAAGTGCGGACGCACGGTAAAGCGGGGGGTCCTTTCTGAACGAGCGCACACGTTGTGGGGCTCGTGCCACGAAATCCCGCGATGATATGCAGTACTACGTACTGGTCGGGGTGAGCGTCTTGTTGTGGCCGATCGAGGAGTAAGTACCACGTAGCTGCCGATCCTACTGTGTCTTCCTTCCGTGCACGCGGTATGCTTGGATACAGGTACCTTGTTCTGCGTCATACCGATGCGCGCGACATAGGCGTTATAGCAAAAACAAGGACCGCATACCATCACGAACCGAATCCCAGTGCGAGCCAAATACCAAATACGGACCAAATACCAATCCCGGACCAAACACCAAATACACATCTTGGACCAAACACAAAAATACAAATTTTGGACCAGGCACCAAAAAACCAATCCCGGACCAAGCACGAAATACCAATCATAATGATCATGGCCTGCAGTTCGTCACGAAATACATACCGGACGCCACGCTCGCACGCACGCCACGGTGCGCATTTCGGAATTCGCACCGATCCGCCGCACGGATGGCCACGACGTCCCATGACGAGCGCTCGTCGCTGCTGCATTCCGACGTTTCCAGTCCCATCGGCCGCCACGCACGTCGGCTGAAGAACGGCGTAGCGCTGCTGCTGGTGTGCGCGGCGGTCGTTGCCTGCGTCGTCGTCGTCTTGCGAGGGTTTATCGTGCCACCAGCACCGGTTGTACCACCGCATGTGCATGAGGAACAGGTAGTTCAAAATCGGTGGAGAAGCTCCTGGTCTGTGATGTGAAGATCTGACTGCCCGGCTGTGTTGTTGTTGCTGCAGTACGATGCCATTGTCATTGGCGGAGGTCCGGCAGGGTCGGTGGTGGCCAAACTACTAAGTGATGATCCGTGGCGACGTGTGCTACTGATTGAAGCAGGGGGCGTGTCCCAGACGCAGTTGGGGGGTAAGGTGAGCCATGCACTTCCACGGACAACGATGTCAAAGGACGAGGCGACTGATCGACATGACCCAATCAATGCCTTCATTTCACAGGAGGCCATCGACTCACCGCTGAACACGAAAGGCTTGACGCCGTTCGACGTGCCATTTTACTGGACAATTGTGGTCAACACACCGCCATTGCACTGGCCGTATCCGGATGTGAACGTGGCGAAAGCTCTGGGAGGATGCGGTGTGCACAACGCCATGCTCTACGGTGCGTGAGCTGTAATGTGAACGTTGAGAAGAGCGGATTTCATTGACTCGTGAGGCTAATGCATGTTTGTTGATGATAGTTCGAGTCTTGCCATCGGATTTGGAACGCTGGAACATTGCAAACTGGACATGGGAGAAAGCGCTGGAGATTTACACGTCGATTGAGGATTTTGACGGGCCGAATACGAGCTACCACGGCACGCACGGATTCTTTCGTACTAGTCCACCCGCTATGGAGACGGCCTTGTCCCATGAGTTCATTGAGGCATGTGTGGAGGTCGGCATCCCGCGAACAGTGGACTTTAATGCGCCTGGTGGTCGTCATGGCGTCGGGTACTACCACTTCAACACCCGCGATGGAATACGCGAGAGCGCTGCCAAAACGTTCCTTGGACCAATACTGAACAACGATACGGCCGAATCCACACGAAGCAATTTCCGCTTGATGCTGGACACCATGGTCACAGTGAGTCGTTGTGCTATGCTGGACATTGATGAAATACGGCCTGACGCTTTGTTTTCTCCAGAAAATCAACATAAATGCGCAGAATGTCACGGAGGGAGTAGAAGTTCGCTATGCAAACGGCGCAGTCGAAGTCATTCGTCTAGCAGAGCACGGTGAAGTCATTGTCACGGCCGGCGCGATCAATACGCCGAAGATCCTAATGCTTTCTGGGCTTGGTGATCGCGCCACGCTTGAGAAAGTTGGGCTACCGTTGAAGAAACACTTGCCGTGGGTAGGCATGAATCTACAAGATCATCCTGTCGTTGGCATGTCATTCAAGTACAAGCCCAAACAAGAGTTCGATCTCGAGTAAGTCTACTGTGAGATTACCATGTTGGTAGTGTCTTCCGGTCTTTCTAACTGTGGTGTGATGAACGTTGCCTTAAAGAGCGGAATTGGACGCGTACTTCGCGGCTATCGACGCCAAGAATACGACGGCATCCAGCTACGGACTTTTCGGCTCTGCTGGTCTCAGTGCTGGGGCATTTTTGACTCCACCTGGCTCAACGGTACCTGAAATTCAACTTACGCTGTTTCCGCGTCGATCGGAACCCCACATATCCACCACGGCTACACTCAACCACGCCACAGAGGTTGTGATTACGGTTGCACTGCTGCATCCTCTTGCTCGCAATCGTGTGGTGCTCGTGCACGACGACGACGATTCGGTTGACGACGATAACGTCGACCACCTGGTACCGCATGTTGTCTCGGAAAAGTCGAACGGTGTGGCCGAGCACCTGAGGCCAGGTGATGTGTGGAAGATTTCGTGGGCAATTGGTGTGGTTCGCAATATAACGTCAAAGCTGGGCAAGTGTCAATTGTGAAGCGGTAGTGTCATGCGAAACGAGGCTAACGAATGTTGATTTGTGTCCGTTGTAGCCGAGAAGAACGTGATTGGATCCGAAATCGCCCCGGGTGTCGGTATTTCCTCCGGGGAAGGTAGTTGCCTCCTGTGTGAATCGTGATGCTTGCGCGAGTAACAGGAATTGCTCATTGCACGTTTATGTCTGCGCACAGACTTGGACAAATGGGTACTCAGCGCCGCATTTCGCAACTCGCACTGGGTCGGTAGCGCATGCATGGCAAACACGGAGGACGAAGGCGTTGTAGATAATCACTTGCGCGTCTTTGGAATCAAGCATCTCCGCGTGGCTGACGCATCCGTGATGCCGCTCATCCCGAATGGCAACGTGCACTCTTCTGTGGTGATGGTAGCAAGTCGAGCTGCCCAGATTCTGCGTGAAGACGAAGCAGAATATCGACGGTCTGGAGCGTCATAGGCAACTAGTGTCGGGCCTGCTGCTTCAAGTCCTAGCAACGAAAACAAGCTTTGGTCCCGAACGTGTACAGGAAGTCGGAGACGTTCAGGCTCAGTGACCATCGCTGGAAGAAGTAGAATCTGGTTAACGTAGATGACACATTTCTTCGACACTCGAGCTTGTTGTCGTTATTACAAATCAGGGTCTGCACTTCACACGTCGTACAGATTTGAGAATACCAGTCTCTGCTGATTTACCTGGAACATAGTCGCACCACCTGAATACCAAGCTTGCATTCCTCTGGGTCATCCAAGTCGACGAGATCGGTGCACCACTGCAAGTCTTCGCTTCGATGCTAGTATGGAAAGCAAACTTGGTCAACAGCAATGCAACGTATCACTTTGCATTCCATACTTCAATTTGTAGGACTTGCTACCTAGTTGACAATACCAAAGTGGTTCGCTAACCCTTCCAACTGCGTTGCCTCAACTGCTTTGCCGGGCGTCGCGAACAAAAAAGCATACGGAAAGTCTTGTAGGCAATTCGGCGCACGAGTATATTCACTGCAACTTTCAGCCACGTCACGACGCAACTCCATCTCTAGTTGTTGCAGCTCGTACTGTTAGAATATACTCTTTCTGACAAGTGAAGAAGGTGTTGCAGGTCAAGTACAAGACCTGGTACAGGTAAGCCCGACCTCACTTGATTGGTTTATAATGTGTCATAATGACAGATGGGACTGGAGAGACGGTCGTCATGTGACAGGACAACACATGGGACGAAGAGAGACGGACGTCATATGCAACTTGACATGGTCAAGTTGTAGTTTCTGTTTCTGGTCATAAATATCGTAGTGTTGAAGAAGATGGGTTTTAACACACAATACATTTCACTTTTACTTCTACCCCTTTGCAACAAGTGCACCACTACATTCTTACAGGTTATGAGCCCAACGGAACGTGTTGGCGGCGCGGCTCGCGGAGCCACACCCGCTGTGGTGGTCGGTGGTCAAAAGAAGACCATTGATCACCAGCTGGAAGAAAATTCGGCAGTGCCCGCGGCCGCGGCACTGGACAAGATGCTCGTCATGCTCGGTGATTTGTCGGAGCAAATGTGCAGGATGGAATCCTCACAATCCGAACAAGTCGACCGACAGCGGAAGGACTCTTCAGAGTCAAGCATCTTTGGTTCGGCCTTGGGAGCAGGGCAGGGTATTAACCTCCAGGCTTTGGAGCGTACTCCTCCTCCCAAGCGATCACCGAATGTCTCGCCGGCCACTTACTTTGGTGCTCGACGACCAGTTTTTGCTGGGAATATAGTCGATCCACCGGCTCAGGACCGTGGTGACTATTTGATGAATGCGGAACCAGCACCCGGGGTGCAGGGCGCACCACCAGCACCGTACCCAGGTGCGGGTGCACCTGGTCCGATGTTTTTTCATCAAGGTCAGGTACCCATGGGTGTGCCTGACGGTCGTCAGCGCAAGCTGGTGTTGCAACCATTTGACGGCAAGGAACTCTACCATGGTCTTGGTAGTGGTTTTTTCAGAGTGGGGCAAGGAGTTCGTACGCCAAGTTGGTTTCTCCAAGCGCGCGTGTGGTTTCGTCTGGCCTGAAGACATCAAGGTTGATGTGCTCGGGCAACACTTAGCCGGGACGGCGCAGAAATATTACCGCCGGCAGGTGGAGACTTGGTGGTCTGAGAGTCCAACCTTGGAGCATGCAATTCAAAGGTTGCTCCAGACCTTTAACACCAAGATAAAACCTGCCCAGATTATGAAGTTGTTTACGGCAGCCAAGTGGTCGCATCGAAATTGGACGGAACACTATTTGTATCACACTGCTGTGAGACACGCTTGCGGAGGCGCGGACAATCTAGTTTTGGACAACATTGTTCACTACGCAGACCCGACGATGCGCACGACGATGCTATCTCGTTTGGATTTGCACAGGGTGAACTACTTGCGACAACCTGAAGAGCTGGCACAGTTCGCACGATCCACGGAGATAGACATCCGTGTCAAGCAGTTCGGTCGTGATGTGGTGAACGTTGTTGAGTCTACCAAGAAAATCACGAAGGTTGGGCCGGTCAAAAAACGGCGCGAAGACCAAGGTCAAAGAAGGTGCTACCTTTGTGGAAACACAGGACACCTCAAGGCATCCTGCACTAAGAGATCGAAGGGAAAACAAGATGTTGATTTCGTCCTCATAGTCCAAGATGCGAACGACGACCAGACTCAAGCTGCGGCTAACTGGGTTCTGGACAGTGGGTCAGGCCGTCATTTGGTTAATGACTTGAGCCTACTGGAAGATGTGGTTGATTGCAATCACGAATGTTTCACCGCGGCGTCTGATGGAGGATCTCTTCGGATCGCGAAACAAGGTAGTGCAATGATTCGGGTCAAAGCACTTGGGTTGACTAAGATCATCCGACTTCTCGATGTCCAATACGCTTCCAATTTGGGGCGTAACATCATTTCCTTCGGCAAGTTGGAAAAGAAGGGATGCGTGCTTGAATATAGTAAAGGGAGGCGTGTTTTGGTCTCGTATCCTGGTGGAGCACCCATCATGGATGTCGATCGCATCAACGATGTGTTGATTGTGAAGGTTTACGATGACATTTCGCCAAACAATTTTTGTGTTTCTGGATCACCACTGGAGGCGGTCATGGCGATCGTGAATGGTCATGAACATGGACATAAGATAAACTTTCAACATGGAAGCTTGCTACAGTTCCATCGGTGTTTGGGTCACCTCTGTTACGACACTATCATCGAGATGGCCCGTGAACCCGCTTCAGGTATCAAACTAACCGACACTAAGCGTGTTAACTATTTGGCCTACGCACAAGGCAAGCAGACAAAGAACCAACAATCTCGCAAGGACAGTGGGACGAATTCGCCAATCGACGTGATGGGAGGAGTCATCTGTTCTGATCTTAAAGGTCCCATGACTCCTCGCGATCGGCTCGGGAACAGGTACCTAATCAACTTTGTTGATCATCGGTCGAATTACTGCCGGGTATTCTTGGCGAAAACTAAGGATGTTGCAGCGATGAATTTCAAGAATTTCCTGTCGTTTTTTGAGCGACGCTTCGATTGCCGGATCCACGTTTTGCGCACGGACGGCGGGGGCGAGTACAAACCTCTGGATGTATTCTGCAAAGACACTGGTGTCGCTCTCCAGATTAGCAAGCTTAATAACCAGGCCAGCAATGGCAAAGCCGAAAGGATGCATCGCACGATTATGAACATGGTGCGAAGCATGGTGTTTGCGAGCTGACTACCTTTGAAGTTTTGGGGCGATGCAGCTGAGTATGCAACTTACATACTCAACCGAAGTCCGACTAAAGCGAACGACGGTGGAGTCTCACCGATAGAGATGCTCACCATGAAGAAGCCCGATCTCAGTGACATCGCGGTATTTGGTTCGACTTGCACAGCTCACTTGCACACGGACAACAAATCTCTGGGTGTACGTGGAAAGGCGGCAATCATCATCGGAAAGAACGATGAGACGAAGGGATATCGCGTCTACTTGCCAAAGGATCAAGTCGTCGTGGTCACGCAACATGTACAAAACATTGAGACTCTGAACACCACACAAGACGGGAGCCCAATAGAAGATCCCGATAATGCTGAAGGTCAGGAGGAGTCTCAAGATGATCACGACGAACTTCCAGCAAAGACTCGTTCGACCAGATGTACACGTGACCGACATGTGACAAGGTCCGTCAGCAAGAACCTGGGTGAACCGAATGATGATGATGAAAGCAAGGGCACAAAAGTTCAAGACACTGTCAACATCGTGAGCGAGCCAGACACAAGGAACTATGGTGAGGCTGTGCGGAGTCCGTCAAAGGACAAGTGGCACGTGGCGATGACCGAAGAACTGACTGCATTGGAGTCAAATGGAGTGTGGACAGTGGTGGTACCACCCGAAAAGTCGCACGTCCTGCACAACAAGTGGGTGTTCAAGACGAAAACCGACGCCGATGGAAAAGTGGAGCGGTACAAGGCTAGGCTGGTGGTTTGTGGAAACGAGCAACTATTTGGAATCGACTACACACTGACTTTCGCTGATGTCATGGAACTTGGCACCGTCAAGGTCATTTTGGTGCTGTCACATCGATGGAACGTACCAGCGCGTCACGGTGACGTTCCCAACACCTATGTCAAGGCAGAAAAAGAAAAGGACATCGACATTTACATGAAAGTGCCAAGCGGGATGCAAGTGAGCAAAGACATTTTGGATGAACACGGATTCAAGCACCCGAAACACCTTGCCTTGCTTTTGAAGAAATCTTTATGCGGTTTAAAGCAAGCTGGACGACAATGGAGTCAATTGTTTCACTCGAATTTGGTTGAGCTCGGCTTCAGCCAATGCACAACGGACATGTGCCTATACGTCAAGAAGATCGACGAGGCCGTCACGATTGTTGGGGTTTACGTCGACGACCTTTTGGTCGCAGGAACTTCAAGCGAAGCCGTGGAACAGTTTTTAAGAGCATGGTGTCTCTCGAGATCAATGACCTCGGAGTCGTCAACATATTCCTGGGTTATAGGATTATACTGGATGACAAGTGCGGTTACATGCTGGATCAAGAGGTGATGATAGACGTGCTGCTGAAGGACCATGGCCTGGAGTCGGCGAATAGTGTGCGAGCCCCTATCAACGACGACTGCAATGAAGTGGACCCTGAATCTACGGATATATTGGCTACGGCAGTTGAAGTCGGACATGCGAGTGTCAAGGCATTCCAGTCACTCGTCGAGAGTCTGCTTTGGATTGCGCGCTGCACACGACCGGACATCAGCTTTGAGGTACATCGCGCGACACGGCAGACACACAAACCAAGTGTGAAGGACTGGAAGATGGCCAAGCGCATTGCAAGGTATTTGAAGGAAGCGAAGACATTGAAGTTGTTTATTAACAGCTCAAGCAAACAAATGGACCCGATCAAGATCGAGTGCTGGAGCGACGCGGATTTTGCAGCCGACAAATCGGACCGAGAGTCGGTCT